ACTTCAAATTATTTTTGAAAAGAGGCAGGAAATGCTTCGCTATTGTTCTCTTGTATATTACTGCACTCCCTAGGTGCTAGTCCTTGATGGCAGTCACTTCAGGGACTTGAATTTGACTGGGGTGTGGGGCCTGGGTCCCCTGCTACTTGGTGGTCTGTTTTTTTGATATTGACTCGCTTGTTGTCCTGGTACTCCTGGAAAGCTGTTTCCTAGCATAGGGTTTCCTGGAATTCCTAGATTATACCAGATTGAAGTCCTTAATAGAATATTCTATAAATTCCTGAAATCTGGAGTTGGCCTCACTTCTCCAGACTTCCCAGAGTGGAATGGGAAACTGAATGGAAGAAAGAAAAACTTTTTTTCCCTTGGGTACTTCTTCTCTTTCTTTTCATACTATCTTTTAAAAATGTTCTATTTCCTTTCATTCAGTTTCATATTTTCTTCTGTAATTTTTTGCTTCTTCCTATTAACTTATCTGAAGCTTATGAACAGTAGCTATATCTGTTGTAGTGGTTAGAAACATGCATTATGGAGCCAGATTGCCTGAATTTGAATTCTAACTCTCCAACTTACCAGTTGTATGATCTTTTTCAAATTGCTTAACCTCTCTGTGCCTCAGAGGGGCACATATATGAAATCTATAAAATGGGAGTCACAGTAGTATCTACCTCATAAGGGTTGTTACAAGGATGAAATGGGTTCATACATATTGAGTACTTAGACAAGTTTCTGGCACATAGTTTTCAATACATGTTATTGATGATCATTATTGTTATTGCTTATTTAATTTTGTAGGTAGTACTTGCAACTAAGTGCTGGTGGCCAAACTAGTAAACTTTTTCCGGTAAATCATTACTTTGACTGGATTAGCCTGCCTTGGAACCAGAGTAACATAGAGTAACTTACAAAGGATGACTCTAGGACCTTGAAAAGTCCGAGGTGTCTGGGCAGGACTTGTATCAGAAACTTCTTACTTTCCTTTAAATCTTGGCTTAAGTTTCATAATCTATCTTTAAGATGACTTTTCTTTTTCTTTTTTTTTTTTGTGAGGAAGATCAGCCCTGAGCTGATCTTGGATGATCTTGGCATGGATGTTCCTCTTTTTGCTGGGGAAGACTGGCCCTGGGCTGACATCTGTGCCTATCTTCCTCCACTTTATATGGGACGCCGCCACAACATGGCCTGACAAGCGGTGCCTCAGTGCCCGCCTGGGATCCGAACCCGGGCTGCCAGCAGCAGAGCGCATGCACTTAACCGCTATGCCACGGGGACGGCCCCTCTTTTTTTTTTTAATGAGGAAGATTGGCCCTGAGCTCACATCTGTGCCAATCTTCCTCTACTTTATATGTGGGATGCCACCACAGCATGGCTTGATGAGCGGTGTGTAGGTTGGTGCCCGGGATCCAACCCCAGAACCTCAGGCTGCTGAAGCGGAGCATGCAAACTTAATCGCTATGCCTCCGGACTGGCCCTGACTTTTCTTTCTTTATAATCAATTAGTTTTCTTTTCTATGTTCTTTTGGATGTTTTGTGAAATTCTGAAAATAGAAATCATTTACAGCCTTCCTGTCAAGATAATAAAGAGTAGTGCTTGATATTTGTATCTTACTCTGCTGTGAATGATTTTATTCTGGGAGGTCTAGGAGGTCCTCAAACCACATCTTCCTCCTTGATTATGTAAACAGAACTAGAGCATGGAACTTTCTTGCTTGAAACTAAATCATTAGCAGAGAAAAAATTTTAAAAAATTTCAAGCGCCAATCTTATATGTATATTTGGGGGCAGCCCCCGGGTTGGGGGAACAAACCTGTTCGTGTATCATTTGGAATTTGAAGAAAGTAGGGAAGGGAGAGGGAAGAGGTTGTATGAGCAAGGGTGTGCTTGCATTTTTGTGTCAGATCTGGGGCTTAGTTAATAGTTACTTGTCAATCTTTCCATTAAGACAAAACTTAGTAGGGTGAGTTTCTCTGGTGTTCTTGTATATTGTCTCCTCTCTTATTACACTTTCCCTTTACTTAAATCCTGCAGGATATTTTAGCTACATATTGGATTTAGTAGCTTGGGAAAAAGTTTACACTCAAAGTTGCCAAGCAAATAAACCAAAAAATAAGATTTTAAATATCCCTCAATACCAAAGTATTGTTTGGGATTGTTTCCTGGGATAGATTGAAGCTCATTAATTAACATCTTTATTTATTTATTTATTTATTTATTTTGTGAGGGAGATCAGCCCTGAGCTAACATCCATGCCAATCCTCCTCTTTTTGCTGAGGTAGACCGGCTCTGAGCTAACATCTACCGCCAATCCTCCTCCTTTTTTTTTTCCCCAAAGCCCCAGTAGATAGTTGTATGTCATAGTTGCACATCCTTCTAGTTGCTGTATGTGGGACGCGGCCTCAGCATGGCCGGAGAAGCGGTGTGTTGGTGCGCGCCCAGGATCCAAACCCGGGCCGCCAGTAGCGGAGCGCGAGCACTTAACTGCTCAGCCACCGGGCCGGCCCAAATTAACATCTTTAGCAGTTAAAATCTTTAAGGGAGGTAGAAGCTGCTCATTTCTCACTTTACTCAGTGCGAACAATTTGGACCTGTTCCCTCTGTGTGTGTCTCTAAAGGGGAAAAAACTTTTGGAAACAGATTTGCAAATATTTTCAGTATTTAGTAGAGTCAGCGAGCTACATATGCAGTTTTTCCTGTGGGCGTACACCTCTGGTTAACTATGCACAGAAGAGACCAGAAGGTGTGCAAGGGTTGAGGCAGGTCCTCGGCTGATTGAGAGAGATTCAGTATCAGCGTGGATGGAGACAAGAAAGCTGTTCGTTTCTCATTCCGAGCGTCAAACTGCTGACCTCTGACCATTCCAATACTCTCCCTGATGACATCAAGCTGGCCTTGTTGTTTGCTGGGGGAATGAGCCCTGTCAGTAATCTTCTTGTCATGTCAGTGGATATTGTTTTAGTTCTTCCCTTTTCCAGTTTTATGGCGCTGGCTCTCCAAAAGCAGGACAGGGAGAGCAAAGGATCCAGGCAGCATATTTGTCCGAGATCCTACATGTCTACAATAATCACCTTGAATGAGCTAGTCACAGTCCAAGCTCAAATAAATTTTCCTCCTGACAGATACCTTATCTATTGCAAAGAGCTGGGTTTTCTAAGATTTCTCTCCTGCTTGCTGATGCTCTTAAAAGGCTAGATAACACAACGACTCTAGGAGCTATCCCGGCACGCAGGGGGAAGGGAACTACTTGCCGGACTCAACTGGCCTCTTGCATCTCTTGAAGGGAGAATTAATAAACAGAGTTGTGTGACCCTTTGAAGGCACATTTGCAGTGCATACCATCTCAGTGATGAAAAGACAGCAGCAACCCTAAACGCTGGCTGATTCTCAGACTATTAAAAAATAAAATAAAATTCAGAAAAAAATAAAAATTTTAATCAGCGATTTTAAAATTCCTTCCATTTTAATATATGATTGACTGTATGTAACTTTGGCAATTTAGATATTTACAGACACTTCATAGACTGGTTTTGAACTTCTGGAGATGAGAATATTTGTGCTTATTCCTTCACTATACAAAAAACGGAAAAAGATCATTTGAGAATCCCTCTTTTTTTAAAGTGCAAGTTGTTAACACAGGACAAATTTAATACAGTTTCAGCACAGAATTTTGTGCACTGCTCCTGCCTGAAGGAGAATTTGGGACTATCTGAAGAATTATCTGAAGTATCCATCTATATCTGTAAAACCTCAAATTGGGTTCTTAAATGCAAAATTGAGCCTCAAAGTGAGACTGTACTGTCTGGTCTTTGAGATCTTAACTAAAACATACCTTTAATAAAAAGAAATCTGAAGACAATCTGAGATTCATTATGAAAACAATCTTTAATGAAAAAAAATAGTCAGACCAAGAAAGATATCATACTTGTGAGAAGGAGGGTATTAAAAGACCGTAAAAGGCAGAAGTTCAAAATATTTTTAAAAGCTTTTTAACTCAAAAGTTCACCAGTGATAACTCAATAGCAATATCGAGCATTTCTTGAGCACATTGAGTAATGAGCCGGTCCCTATACTAACTGTTGGGGATTCTAAAATGAGTAAGACAAGATCCTTGATCTCAGAGGGTTTCATTATGTCATGGGGGAAACAGATAAACAACCAACAAAATGAATCCTACAGTCAGGGATCATGAGAGAGACATGTTTCAAGTCTGGGGAAGCAAGGTGAGGAACTGACAATGCATTATTTCTGCAAGGGCCATCCTGATTTTTCCACTGTGACCTAGAAAATCAGCATTAAGCATCTAGTTAACAGCAGTGAGGTGACCGTAAGTACATAATGTGGTAACAATTTGTGCTTGTAGAGCACATAATGCTTTTCAAAGTGTTTTACTAGACATTGTCTTTTGAGGTCCTTCTACTGTGTGAAGTAAATTATCCAAATGTCTGGATAAGGAAGTAGTGACATAGAGAGGATAAGCAGCTTGAGTAAGAGTAAATAGCTACTGAGTGGTACCCCAGGTCCCAGGTCTCCTGAATTCTAGGCCTGCTTTCTTTCTATGACCCTCCAGCAAAAGAAATGGCCTTTCATTTCCCAAAGTGTGTGTGATGGGACATTAGTTTCCTGCGATGTTATTTGTATTATGTAAAAGAAGGTTCCACTTTGAAATGTTAAATTCCTTCTCATTCTTCAGTTCTGAGCTCACAAGTCACTTCTTCAGCGGAGACTTCCCTGGGCTCCCAGATTCCTCTACTCTGCACTCTCACTGCACTCTATACTTCCCCCATTAGCACACAACCCAGTTTGTAATTTGCCATTTGTGTCATTATTTGATTAATGTCTCTTTCCGCTATCCAACTGTAATCTCCATGAGGCCAAAGACTGTGTCTCTTTTGTTTACCAATATATGCTTAGCATTTAGTATCTAGTGTATAGTAGTCACTCAAGAAATGTTTGCTGAAGGAATGTCTTAATTTAAGGTTTGTGTACTATTTCCATTTTTTCAGAATACCCAACGTGTGCGCAGCTTACTTGCGCCAATGGAGCCTGCTATAACATTAGTCAAGTATGTGATGGGAAAGTTGATTGCAGAGACTCCACTGATGAAAACAACTGCAGTAAGTAACGTGCACGAGATGTGCAGTGGTGGGCTGAAGCTGGCTTATACTGGCCAATTATGCACATTTCTTCTCAAGTTTGTATTCAGTATATTCATGTTGGTAGCTTGAAGTCAGCCATGGTGGGAGTATTTACACCATGAAAATTGGCAAACACTGTAAGTGAGGGCCTTTTTGTTCCTGGAAAACTGGTTGTTAAACATTTACCAGCATACTACTGCATAATCAGAGATTCTTTTTAACCTTGAGACAGAATCTTCTTATGAGATTAAATGGCTATAGTGGAATTGAAATTCTCTCTTTTCTTTCCCTTGTGTCCCAGCTAAGATCTGCTCACAGAACGAGTTTCAATGTGGCGGTGGGGAGTGCATCCCTCGTGCTTACGTCTGTGACCATGACCATGATTGTGAAGACGGCAGTGATGAAAATTCTTGCAGCAGTACGGTGATTTCCTTATGCTGAGTCATGTTGTTAGGAGTGTTTTTTTTTTTTTTTTTTTCCTACCAGTGTACCACTCTTTTCAGACAAAAGGGTTACTATCTGATGGCAGATGGAGCCAGAAGATTATTTAGAGCCCGTGGCATGAACCTCAGCAGTGTTGCTAGACCTGGGCTCCTTTATCTCCCAAGGATCTGTGTAGATTTGAAGGGCTGCTGATGGACAGTTTGCATTCTTTCCTTAGGCTACAAGGATAACAGGGTGCATTGTATCACTGGACTTGCAAATTACCCATACCTCAGGAATGGGTCTGATAACCTGGATAGTAGAGTGAGAGAAGGACTTGAAAGGGATAAGAAGGTCCCTAATAGTGATGGTCCTAACTCTCCTCTTTACTTTGAAATTCTTAGCACATTAAAATTGGATGGTCAGGAGAGTTTCAGTGTGGTGCAGGTGGCTTTTGTTGCCTCCACTTTTTTCCACTCTGACTCTACTTTTCTGTCCATGCTGTTGCCTGCAACGCAAACCTCCTCTCTCTAATTGTTGCCACCTCTGGACTCATTTTATTAGACTATGTAGTGTGAAGTCTCTGTGAGAGACTAATTCCAGTAAGTTGGCAGCTTTTTGTGTCATTTATTTACTGGAATGTATGATTTTTCTCCACACATGTTTTGATTGGTTGGTACCCATGCCTTAGGGATTGTTAAATATTTTCAGTATCACCCTAATTTTCTGTCAGCCATGCCTGATTTCCTTTCTGGGCTTATTTCAGTGACTGTATTAAAGAGAATGTGACATCATGGAATGGGTGACTCAGAATCATTTGGTCCTAGATAGCAATTACAGTGCTTGTGGTAAAGTAAGAGAATGTCGGACATTGGCGTTATCAGTCTGCATTCTCTGTTCTGTGTCAACCTATGGCAATACTGTCTTATTTTTAATCTTGAGAAACACAGCGTGGCACCTGAGTTTCTTTCCTGGACCCAAAGCTGCTGTTATCTTCTCCTCTTTCTTCTCCTCTTCTTTCTCCTCTTCCTCCTTTTTTTCACTTTTGTTAAGATACTTAAGGGACTAAATTGACATAGAAATTTCAATTCCTAGGATCTCAGTTTAGACAGTGAGGTGAGTATTTTGATTTTTTCCAAGTGGTTTGTGTCTTTGGAGTGCAGCTTTTGTTTTCTTCCAGGCTATCAGACCTGCACAGGAGACCAGTTCACTTGCCCCAATGGCTACTGCATTAGTCAGAATTGGGTTTGTGATGGAGAGGATGACTGTACAGACGGTAGAGATGAAGATGGATGTGGTAAGGAGGAGAAGAGATCCTGATTGAAAAGCATTTTCTTGAAGTGTTTTCCAGAACTTGTTTTTCCTACTTTTCTTGTTAGAAATGATCTGTGTGACAAGCAAGTCTCAGGATTGCCTGGGTTTTAAGGGACTTAGTGGGTGATGAAGAAGAGGTGACTCCACTAGCTTTTCCTAAAAAGACCCAGAACTCAAATATAGCATAAATTATAATTTCCTCCCTCCTATCATTAAGGCAAAATATATAGGACAATCTCTCCCCCTTCTATAGCCCACTCTGATTTTTCCCTTTAAGACTATTTATTTTAACCAGATTTATCTATGTAAAAGAAGTAGTCTGGGGAAGGAGAGAAAATAGGGAAAAATGTGATTTGTCTTAGACCTCATAACCTTTAAAAATGACTTTGAACTTCGGTAACAGTTCAATTTTGTTCTGTTTTGAATTCGGATTTCCAAACGAGTCACTGACGTCTGGTGGTGGAAGAGAGGCCACATGGGAACATGTGAGATGGAGCTAGGGATTGGTAGCTGGAGGAGAGGCTGCTATCCAGGGAAGTATTTAAAGATTCTATGAGAAGGAAATTGCCAATGAAATTCATCCCTTCACTCTGCTGTAATCATCAGCAGTACCTCCAACAGTTCAGAAGTTGCTAACACCCACACCATAAAGCAAGTTACTTGTACTATTCCAGCCCCAGATATAATAAGAGTGATACTTATTCTGGGAATATGCACTGGTTCACATTTTAGTGTTCTCTAGGAAGTAGTCTTCCTACATTTGGGTTATAGTTTTTCTTACACTGTTGACATTTTAGTAAACAAACAAAACAAATTAAACAACCAAAAAAGACAAAAATAAAAACTCAGGAGTCCTGGTGTTACCTTGATAGTCCTAGTTATATAATTCATGATTTAAATAACTCAATCTTCTTCTAGGCATTATTAATCTAGTTTGTTGATAAAATTAAGGCCCATATCTTCATATTACTCTTATTACCTGGCTGGGGGCTGTCTCCCCTACAAAGAGTGGAACTTAAATAATTCCATTTTGCCACTCCTTAGAATCTCAATAAAAGGCCAATGGAAGTTAGAAACTACTAGTTTATTGTAAAATATAGGTCATTTGTAGAGTTCTCTTGTCTACCTGATCTATATCTTCCCTTAACTATGGATTGAAGAAGAGTTGGCTCTACCTCTCATGTGGCCTGTAACTTTTCTTTTTCCCCCATAGAAAGCAGTACTCATCATACTCATAAATGTTACCCTGGTGAATGGACTTGTCCAGGGTCTGGAAAATGCATCCCAATTGGAAAAGTTTGTGATGGGACTCTGGATTGTCCAGGAGGACAAGATGAAAGCAATATCACTGGAGGACAAGATTGTGGTGAGTATGGAAATTTATGTGGCTAGCTTTCAGATAACAATGTTTCTGTTTTTCTATAACAGATTCTCAAATACAGAGAGTATCAGTTGGTGTTTGCATAACGAACTATCCCAAGACTTAGTGCACTTAAACCAACACTTATTATTTCTCCCAGTTCTGTGGTTTGGCTAGGTAGTTCTCCTGGCCTAGACCAGTGCACTCACATGTGAGGATGTTGAAGTACAAGCCCTGGCTGGTCCAGGCTTGCTTACACGGTGGTAGAAAGGGCAAACTCTAGAGCACAAGCTCTTTTAAGCCTCTGCTTATGTCATGTTTGCTAAATGTCTTATTAGCCAAAGCAAGTCACTTGTTCAAGCCCAGGTTCAATGGACTGAAGAAATAGACTCCATCTCATGATGGGAGGAGCTTCAAAATATTTGGGTCTCCCTCCCACTGCCACCCAGGGAGAATGGTTTATTTATTTATTTATTTTTTTTTTTTTGTGAGGAAGATCGCCCCTGAGCTAACATCTGCCAATCCTCCTCTTTTTGCTGAGGAAGACTGGCCCTGGGCTGACATCCTTGCCCATCTTCCTCCACTTTATATGGGACGCCACCACAGCATGGCCTGACAAGCGGTAAGTCCGTGCACTTAACCGCTTGCGCCTCTGGGCCGGCCCCCAGGGAGAATGGTTTTAATGGCAATTTTGATGACTCTAAAGGTGTTCTGGAGATTTTGTTCCCTGGCTTTTACTTATGGAAAAAAGTCTTTCTTGGCAATACTGAAAAACAAGATTCTGGTTCCTAGGACATATACTTGAGTTAGTTTTTTTTCTTTTTCTGTGGTTATAGAATATTCTCCTACCATCAACCCATCAACTCTGTGGACAGAATACAATTTATGACCTTGATTTCATGGATAGTACACTCTCTAAATTATCTAGTAGCTGTCTAGAAGTGGCCATGTAACTGTAAGCCTAAGGTTTTTTTTCCTGAAAAAACTTGTAAAAATATGCAGAGACTTCTATGGCTTTTTTTTTGTTTGTTTTTGCCATTTCGTTTGGGAGCTCTTTTAAAAAAACTATAAAAATTAACAAGAGATATACAGTCATAGTACAAATATTAGAAAATAAAAACTAACAAAAAGAAAAAAAATATAGTCACCTGCAATTCCACCACTTGAAGCTAGCCGTGGTTAACATTTTTAGTGTTATTCTCAATCCAGTCACTTGGGAATTCTTGGCCCCTTCTGCTATGTAGACACAAAGTGCTGATTTTTCCGTAAACAGCACTTAGGATGACATATACTTGCACATAGTTATAACTTATAAAAGCACTTCTTTGTTTAAAATATGAATTAAGCTTTTATTGCATAATATGGCAGTAAGGCTTGAATGGTGACAGATTTTCTGGGACTCTACTGCATGCTTACTTAGCTTTTTTTTTTTTTTAGACATTGATTGTGGAGTTGAGAATTTTTTTTGTTGTTTTTTTGATTGGCCCTGAGCTAACATCTCTTGCCGATCTTCCTCCTTTTTTTCCTTTTTTCTCCCCAAAGCCCCAGTAGATAGATAGTTGTATGTCATAGTTGTACATCCTTCTAGTTGCTCTATGTGGGACGCCGCCTCAGCATGGTTTGACGAGCGGTGCTAGGTCCGCACCCAGGATCCGAACTGGTGAACCCTGGGTGGCCGAAGCCAAGTCCGTGAACTTAACCGCTATGCCACCGAGCTGGCCCCCTTACTTAGCTTTTACTTTTGAAAAAAGAAGCTTTTACTTCATAGGTAAATCAGTCTTGTCCACAGGTCACCATTCATGTAACAAAGTGTTTTTCTTTGTTTAGATGTGAATTTGTGTCCTCTCTTGGGCTGTGAGTACCAATGCCACATGTCACCACATGGAGGGATGTGTTATTGTCCCCCAGGTTTTATTGTCGACCAAAAGAGCACTCGCAACTGTGTCGGTAAGTGACAGGTCAGAGCGCCTGGTCTTTTGTCACAGTGCTTGCGGCACTGAAGGGTTCCATGATCTCTGGCATCAAGGAGTTTGTACTTGTGGATAGGAGTGATGGTCTGTGTAACAAAAAGCAACACAGTCCTCACAGAAAACCTGGACAATATGAAGTTTTAACTCTGAGAAGCTTTTGTGAGGTTCACAAGGCAAAAGAGTTCTGTGATGAGTGAGTTGACCAGCTACATGTATACCCTTCTATTACCTGAGGTTGGAGGTGGTCTTTTTGTGTTTTTTTTTAAGTATTTGGAAGCAGGGTTGGTACGGCTATACTTGGCACGGCTATAACCAGTAATATCTGCAACCATGTGTGCAGATACTGACATCCACATACAGCTGTCACATTCCTCCAACAGCCCTGGAATACTCTGCAATCACGCTGGCAGGTTTTGGCACATGGCAGCCAAACCAACTGGTGGTGTCCCCGAATGCCACCACTGCTGGGGCCTACCTTGAGGCAGGGTGCCGTGCCCCATCTCACAAAAGTCTGGCTGGTGTCCAGGAGGGTCCAGGAGGTTGTTAAATACTGAAATACTCCCATGTGGCTATTTAGCCTTGAACCCATCAAGTACCCTACCCTGCTACCCTGGCTCTTCTCCAGGATGTTCAAACTTCCCCAGGATCCAGCAACTAAAGAGTGGTCACTTGACACAGCAGAAGATCACCAGGTCACTGCTCCGCTGACCATGTCAGTGCCTATGCTGTGCTGGTTGTTCCTCCCACTGATTTTCACCTCTACTTGAAGCTAACATTCAAGAAGAAGAAACTCTTATCATGCTGCTTCCAGCTAGTGGCTGGCATTGAATTAGACACCAGTGCACCAAATATTTCCCACACCTCTCCTATTTGAATTGTAAGAATGATTTCTCCCACTGAAGAATTTTTGATTCTGATGTGAGCCAGCTTTGCATCCCACTGTGATTAGGATGGGGTCTTAGGATAGGAGAATTAGACGTAGCCAAGTATCATCAATTTTCAGTTTTTCGGGATTTGAACGATGAATTTTTAATGCTCTGATTTCTTTTTCCTTCTTTCTAAATTTTTATATGTGAATAACAAACATATTAGCAGGAAGTGACCAAAGATGTTTAAAAAAAACTTTGCTTTTACTGGTGTTGGGAAAAGGCATCTGGAAGGCAACTGAAACGATTCATTAAAATTAAGCGTGGTGGTCATCTATGGATCTCCAAAAGATAGATGATTCAGAATTTTCTCAGAATATATGTGTTCATTTGATATGCTTAGATATTTGAGATTCTTCAGTGCTTTCTGGATAAAAAAATAAACATGGCATACGCAAGAAATACTTTTAGAAAAGTGTTTCTTCGCGCCCGTACTTAACTGCTAAGCCACGGGGCCAGCCCTAAAATATTAATATATTTTGGCCAAAAATATTGAATTTGGATAAACAATGTAGTTATTCTGTCTTTAGTCTCAGCTCATGGCTTTCAACTTAATTATACTTTATTAAATATGATTTGTCTTTTTTTTTTTTATAATTTTATTTATTTTTCCCCCAAAGCCCCAGTAGATAGTTGTATGTCACAGCTGCACATCCTTCTAGTTGCTGTACGTGGGACGCGGCCTCAGCATGGCCGGATAAGCGGTGTGTTGGTGCATGCCCAGGATCCGAACCCAGGCTGCCAGCAGCGGAGCGTGCGCACTTAACCGCTAAGCCACGGGGCCGGCCCCAAATATGGTTTGTCTTAATAACTACAACTCATAGCCAGAAAAACTTTTTTTTTTTTTTTTGGTGAGGAAGATTAGCCCTGAGCTAACATCCCTGCCCATCTTCCTCTACTTTATATGTGGGACGCCTGCCACAGCATGGCTTGATAAGCAATGCGTAGGTCTGTGCCTAGGATGGGACCCTGTGAATCCTGGGCCGCTGAAGCAGAGTGCACAAACTCAACCACTACGCCACTGGGCTGGCCCCCAGAAAAACTTTTAATGCCAGAAATAAACTCCAGTTTACAAATTAAACTTGGAACTCTTGAGAAAGTCTCTTCCTCTGTGTTATTGAGAACTGTAACAATGGGGCTCATTTATGTGTCATATGCCAAGAAAAACGGGATTTTTCTGTCTGGTAAAGCAATGCAATTGAGGTTGTCTTTGCAGTGTTCAAAGTAATTTTGGGTTTCTAGTATCAGCACCATGTCCCAGTGTTTGCCCGTGATCTGATTGCTCCTCTTAAGTTATATTCACCATGACATGTTAAGATGGAGTGCTTTATGCAAGTCAGGACAAGAGATCTTGAAGACTCAGAGAGAACTCTGAATTATTGAAAAACACCCCCAAATTTCTAATCATTTCAAAGCATTTTATAAGTAAAACATTATGATCTGCAACTGGCCTTAGATGAGACTACAGGACACTTTTTGTGTTTTATGATCATCATCATCATCATAACATTGGGAATACATTCAGGTAATTTAAAAATACTTTTCACATGAATGTCCTTATTTGTTAGGTGGCTTTCTGCCTTTGGAAGCCCTGCCTGTGCTTCCTGGCATCACTGCAAGGGCAGCATCCCATTTTCTCAGAGTGGTGCTCATCTGTGGGTGTGAGGCTGCTCCTTTGTCTTTGGCAAATGTCAGCCTCCTCCACTCCCTTTTACTGCCACCCAGCTGCCAATCCCTCTTCCAGTCTTGTAGTTTTCTAGGCATTTTCCCTTTCTTTTAGCAGAAAGGGGATTCCAATAGAAATACCAGAAGCCACATTCTCAGTATTACATCAGCTTTCTCTTTTTTATCTCTCTCAATCTCCAAAGAGCAGTTGGGAGGGCTGCCTGGCCACGGGAACTCAATAGGTCATGAAATCTTTTCAGTAAAAGTGAATTGCTCTTTCAGAATCCCTAGTTCAGTCTTGTGATGCCCCATAACCTGTTCTCAGTCTGGAGTCCAGATAGCACATTTTCAACATCTTTTCCAATATCTAAGTCTGTGTTGAGGTTTGGGTTATATTTCCAAGTGTCTAGAGCTTCCTATATGTCAGAGGTCTAGGCCGCTTCAGTTTTTTTTCAGCCTTTAAGAAATGAAAAAGTGTCATAGCAAGGTTTCTACATTTAACCTATTAATGATTGTAATACAGAAAATTGCAATATTATTCTGTGCACAAGATTTCAGAATTTATAGAACACATTCGGTTCATAGTACACTGGAAGTAGTGTGGTATGATACTGGGGTACTAGTTTTAAGTTCCACGGCGAACATCTTTCAATCCCTTCGGTATGTGCTTGGGACTTTAGTACAGATAACCTCATTTGGAGATAAGCTCAAATGTATACGTTTGAGGGCCTTTGTGAATACGAGGCCCCCTGACATATGCAGAGACCTTTTCTGGGACCTTCTCTGTCCTTCAAGAATCTATCATTTGCCCCTAAGTTTTGAAGCCGGGTTAACATTTATTTCAAAGAAGGCTATATTTTGCTCTCTTTGTGAAGAGAGATCATTAGTTTCAATACATGACATTATAAAACCAGTTATACTTGTTTCCCCTGAGCTTTTAGGGAAATTGTTTTGGTTTGCTCTTGCAAGCATTTCAGTTCAACAAATACTCTCTGTATGGCTGTAATCCCCTGCATGGTTGACTCATTACAGAGGCTTCAGGTGTTGGAAACCTATGCAACATTTATCATCTTAGACATGGCTCCCCAGTGAATGTCTCAGTGGTAATCAAAAATAAAATTGAATAGTCCTGACACGAAATCTTGTGTCTTTCTACCGTTTGTCTGCCCCTGGTAGTCATGACCTGGCTGTGAAGCCTGTGTGGTGTGATGAAGCAGTTTGCCGGGGTTATTTTTTCTGACTGACGGGACATGCTGTTTGTTGATGAAATGACATCGTGGTGCAGAGTTAGGGCAGGAAGGTCATTCAGCATGGTGGGATGTCACACAGCCAGATGCTTCAGAGGGTGTCCAAGGGGGTCTAAGCTAAAAACGAGTTTTTGAATTATTTTCAAAGCGGTGTTTATTGGTAAGAGGGGATGAAGAATAAAAAAGAAAGAAAAATAAAGGTAATGGGGTGGGAGGGGGTATTGTAAAGCAGTGTTTTAGTGTTTTATACAGTTTCTACTACCTTTTCTACTCTCAAGGAAAGCCTCAAGTCGTCTTTTTTCTTCTCTTCACTTTGGCTGATGATGGATATTAATTAGCCTTCATTTTTCTCCATAATGGAGAGTATAATCTTATTCAGTCCTTAAAAGTGACAGTGATTTTATACACCCATTCAAACCTTGAAAGTACTTATAGCCCAGGTGATAGGAATGGTATTTGCACCCCAGAATTCCTAGTTAGGACTTCTCGACCTTTGGTTTTCTTCTGTTTAACCTCAGAACTTCTGCTCCCAGGGTGACTCCAGACCCTTAGGCATAATCGTATTGGTCTTGCATTCAAAGTAGGTCATGATATTCTGGGAGTTTGAGGGCGAATGTCCTGTACTTTCATTCCTGCTGAGGCGAAGCCTCAGTTGGCACTTTCTCAGGGCTGAGGCGAGGGCATGGGAGAGAGAGAGCAATGCAGTCCTTTTATTTACACCCACATGTCTTTTTACCTTGTTTTGTCCAAATTGGATTCATTTTTTTCATTGGTTAGTCACAGTCCTTGGAAAGAAAGTTATGCTGGCCCATTGTTGTTATATTTGGTCCAGAGGGAAAACCGGACCCATTAGCTTGATCCCAGGACTTTCCTGGGCTTTCTAGTTGGGAAGTCACGAGATGGTAGGCCATCCAGCAGATGTGATAGAACCCAATTTACAGCTACTATCTTTGCTGCAAATGTAATCAGATCCTAGAAATCTGGAGAATTCTAGACCTGAGGGTACAATGGATTCAGGAATTGTAATTTACTTGAGACTCTCCTAGCCTGAGGTCATGGGAACCCTGTTGGTATAGGCTGTGGAGGTCATCCTCCCAGGGAGGGTGAAGGAGGTGAAGAGTGGATGTGAACTTGGAGGGTCAAACAAAATATTTGGTACCAATCTACCAAGGATAGGACAATTTTTGTACCCCTTAAGCTTTACAATCTTTAAGAAAGACTATATCTTGTATTGTTCTTTTCTCCCCATTTTGTATTGTTTATGTATCAGTTATGTTGAATATATTGGACTTTCAACAAACACATTAAATAAATGAATAATAAGTTAATGAATAAGCAGAAGAGAAGACTTTTCATGTCTTAAAAATAATTTTATTGGTTATGATTTTTTGACATCAGAGGAAAGGCAGCTGGGTAACTAGACCTTTCCAAATACTTTATTGCAGTCACAGATTTGTGTTTTCTTGAGGGGCTGGATATAAGGCAGGTCTTACTTTATTCTGAGGTAGCACTATCCAATAGAACTTTCTGCAATGTTGGAAATGGTCTGTATCTGCACTTTCCAGTATGGTAGCCACTAATCATATGTGACTGGAAATGTGACAAGTGTGACTGAGAAATTGAATTATTAATTTTATTTCATTTTAGTTAATCTAAATATAAATTTAAGAAGCCACAGAGAGCTAGTGGCTACCATATGGGAAAGCACAGTTTTAAAGGGAAACATTTACACCAAAATTCAGATGTGTTGTAAATCAACATTAATAAATGATATGCAATACCACAGGGCTATGAATCCAAACAGTTTTGTGCATCTTCTGGAAAGTTATCCTTCATGTAGATTTTTATAAAGCTGTTTAAATGGGCTTGGGTTTTCCCTGGTATGAAGATGCCTGTTCTGAATTCCTATTTTTTATTGTATGCCTAGAATCTGTGCTACCTCCAGAGGGTACTTATTTAGACATGGACATCACCATATTCCTGTACATCTTGTCCAAGATTTTTTTCAGAGAGTGCTCAAGAAATGCTGGTAAAATGATTATAGTTGTTTATTTCCCATGTGGCAGATTTTGATGATTGCCAGATATGGGGGGTTTGTGACCAGATGTGTGAAGACCGAATTGGCCATCACCAGTGCCACTGTGCAGAAGGGTATATCTTGGAGCATCAGCGACATTGCAAAGCTAATACTTCTTGTGAGTAAATTAATGTTGCTTGTATCTCTGAATTGTAAGTTTCTGACTAATATTCTCCTTCCATAGCAGATGACAAAAGAAATATCAGCATTTACGCAGATGTCAGGGTTTTATCATAACAAACCAGGAGCAGCCCCTGCTGCTGGAAGAGTGGGTCAACATTAATTTCATACTTTATTAGGGACCAATTTGTGGATTAATGATGACCATTATTAATAGTTTCCTTTTATTGGTTGCTTGTTCACTTGGGGTCTGGGCTCTTATGTCATCCACCACATTTAATTGTGGAATAAATGTTATGCCTACATTTGACCTAGTTGGACATTTAACTTTTAACTAATTTACCTACCACAAACGTAGGTGACAAGTATCTATAGAAATAATTTTGGCATTGTTTATGCAAAATTTAGAAGTGGTTCAAAATGGACCTAAATTTGGATTACAATTTGCAAGAATGCCCTCATTCTGGGTGTTTTGTTGGAATTAATCTGAGAGTACTGTAGTAGAGAAAAGTCATGGGGAAAAATCTGTTAAAAAAGATGGGCCCCCTCAAAGCATTTTTCTCACCATGCATTTCTGGGTAAGAAAGTCTCAGCTTTACTCCTTTTTTCTAATTGTTTTTTTCACACTTGATTTTGAATTGCCTTTGATGGCTTCTGAAACTTATCTGCTCAATGATTGATGAATGGCTCATTGTCTAGTTGTTTTTGTGTAGAAACACCTGATTTGCCGTGTACTACCTTTTAGGTACAGCTGATTTTTAACAATTAAATTTGTTCATTTTTGAATAGATAATACATATATTCATATATTCGAAAATTTTAAATTATAAGAAGATGTGTAGTGAAATGTCTCCCTCCATCTCTGTTCCCCTCTGCCCAGTTTCCACTTCCCCTCTCCCCAGTTTCCACTTCCCCTCTCCCTTGGATATCATGGTTTATTTCAATTCTAGAGATTGTTGAATCCATAAATAAGAATATACAAATATTTAACCCTATTTTTACATATATGGTAGTAAACTATACACATAGTTCTGCATCTTGCTAATGTTACATAATATATTTTCAAGAGCTTTCCATATCAACACAGAGAGCTTCTCCTCATTCTTTTTTTTTAAATAGTGGCATAATATTCCATTTTTTGGGTGTACATAATTTATTTAACTAGTCCCCTACTGATGGACTTTTATATCATTTCTGATCCTTTGCTATTGCAAACAAGACTGTGATGAATAACCTTATTCATTTTACATGCTTGTAAGTATATAGGTATATATACTATATACTATATCCACCATTGCCATGTTTTTCACAGACTGATTTCCTAGTAATCCTTAAAATGTGTTCTGTGTTTTACACAATATAAAATTGCACCTGGGTAAGGTGCCCATATCATTAAGGATTCTTGAAAATACCTGATGTGTTCTCCTGAGTGCCATTGAAAGTGCATTGGACTAGCAGTCAGGACATTTGAATTCTTGGCAGACTCTGTTCCTAACTTACTGTGACTTTGGACACTTTATTCAGCATCTTTGTGTGTCAGTTTGCCCACCTGTAAAATGCATAGAATGACACCTATATGTTTGCCTTAGAGGTTTATTTTAAAATCAAATAAGAAAACCTAGAAGAAAGTACTTGGAAAAGCAGAAAGCGTATTAGCTGTAAGTTACTTTGATTTACTATCATCTGATTTACTATCATCTTCATTCATCTGAAGGAGTGATAATGCCTTCCTTCTTCACGTTTAGCTGGTGAGGCCTCCGTTATCTTCTCCAATGGTCAGGATTTACTAATTGGGGATATTCATGGAAGGACCTTTGAGATCCTAGTAAAGTCTCAAAATCGTGGAGTGGCTGTGGGTGTGGATTTTCACTATCACCTACACAGAGCCTTTTGGACTGACACCGTGCAAGATAAGGTAAATAGAAATTTCAGGAGTGTAGCTTGGGAACTGATAGAACCCCAAGCACAAAGTGTTGATAGCTTTTCATTTTGTGGGGAAGAGAAGGGAAAGTTCCTTTGTTTTCTAACAAAAAAGGCCCTTGAGATATTGTATGTTAATCAGCACCTTTTCCATGCTATACTATTACATGCAACCTATTAAACAAAGCAGTCTATTATATGGATTAGCCTTGAGCAACTTTTAATTTTATTCGAAATGGAGTCCAAAAGCCTAATTAAAAGAAATAGTAGACATTCTTTCAAAACTGGATAGATATTTGCTAGTAATATTTGAAACTTGATCATTTAAATGTAAAAAGTACTCTGCTTTTCTGGATGATAAAAATCAGATTTTACCTGCATCTTCTAAATGGAACTGTAATTGAGGATTAGATAACAAATATTGACAGTATTTTGTTTAACAGCCAATATTTCATTGTGCTGTCTTATTTGGAAAGTGTAATGGATTTAATTTCAACTTTGAGCAATGCAATGGATGTTTTTAAAACAAATTTTAGAGACTCCTAAAGAATTATGGAATTTTATTTCTTCCTTTTGCATTTCCTTGTACTCTTAATAAAATTCTAATGAAGTGATAATGTGCATAAAATTTCTAAAAATTGAGAGTTGGATTGGTAGCAGTTCTGATTTGATTACAGATAAAAATCAAAACAAATCACCATCACCTCCTTCACCAAAAAAATCCACATTTTTATTTTTATTTATTTATTTTTTAAATTTTATTTATTTATTTATTTTCCCCCAAAGCCCCGGTATATAGTTGTATGTCATAGCTGCACATCCTTCTAGTTGCTGTATGTGGGACTCGGCCTCAGCATGGCCGGACAAGCGGTGCATCGGTGCACGCCCGGGATCCAAACCTGGGCCGCCAGCAGTGGAGTGCGTGCACTTAACCACTAAGCCACGGGGCCGGCCCTAAAATCCACATTTTTAAATTAAACTTTAGATAATACGAAGAATTAAAAAATGCAGGCTTTTTTATTTTAAACTCAGTTTTTTGTATTTGCCTAACATATGCTTATAAAGAAACTTTTTTCCCCAGTAACACATGATGTAAAACAGCAAGTCCGTAGTGAAAAAAACATTTTTATTTAGTCTGATGACTGATTTGTACAGCATAGATAAGTGGTACACTGAATGAAGTATAGGGAAACAGTGCCCACAGTTAGTTATGCTTAAGAAGTGTAATACTTTTGGTTTTTCTTTCAGGTTTTTTCAGTTGACCTTAATGGTTTACATATCCAAGAAGTTCTCAATGTTTCTGTTGATGATCCAGAGAATCTGGCTGTGGACTGGGTTAACAATAAACTTTATTTGGTGGAGACTAAGGTCAACCGCATAGAAATGGTAAATTTGGATGGAAGCCACCGGGTTATCCTTATAACTGAAAACTTGGGGCATCCTAGAGGAATTGCTCTGGACCCAACTGTTGGGTAAGTGATGTGAAAGCATACTGATTCCAGTATTTTTGGAGTTTTATCTTTCCCTCTATACGTAAAACATTGATTGGATTAATTGAAGGTTAATTCTGATTTCTTTTAGGCTCTGTGCTCTGGAACCCATGTTTATTTTATGTCTCTATTCAAAGACACTTAAAGGAGTTGGCTAAATATGATCCCATTTGAGGTTATGTAATCCAAACACACCTACTGGTGTACTAAAAATATGTGATGTTTTGGAGTATGAATTTTATTCTTAGTGTTTGCCATATTTGCCTGGCTAGGAGATTGGACTCTCTGTTCTGACTCAAACTGATAATATTGTTACAACTAAACATTACTTCTGTTTCATCATTATTAAGATGATTACTCTAACATAAATTAGCTGTAAAGTTTTTCAAGAGGGGAAAGAAGATTGGAACTATCCCTTTCAGCAATTTCTTGTTACAGACTAGGGTTGAGGTGTCAATGCTAATACCTCATTACAAATTGTTCAGTGTGAATCAACCCAACAAGACTGATAATGCTTACTTTTCTCCAGGTGTAAATTCAAATATTCCTGATCTTCACATTTGAGAACAGTTATAAGAGACCAGCTTTCTCCTAGATTTTCACAGTAGGGTCTTAGGACCCTTGGATAAACTTGAGGCTACTTAAGTGTTGGTGAATGGTGATTATGCATTTCTACTTCATGATGTCAGCTGCCCATTCTTGAAAATGTTGGATATGTTCTCCAGATGATGCCTTAGAATGGGGGAATTAAGGAGAGAAATGGCTTGGTAGCTTATTTTAAAATGTATTTGTAAGTTCTCCTGGGTGTAAAAAAGAGAAGTAAAAGACAGAGCCAAGGAACAGAGGAGAAAGTTAAGGTAGACGTGAATTTTTCAGCTGCCATATTAGTACATTTTAGTGGTTGCTGTTTGGAGTTGTTGACTCTCCTGATTGGCTCTCATACTCTCTGATTTTTAATACTTTTTTATTTCTCTGTTTTTTATACCCCCATTGTTCTCTAATCAACTGGAGGAAATTTCCATTGATCCAAACACACAATCTAAAAAAATATTTTCCCGGTAAACTTGGAAAAAACTGACTCTTTCATCTCTTGTTTTTCTTTTGTAGTTATTTATTTTTCTCAGATTGGGAGAGCCTTTCTGGGGGACCTAAGGTGGAAAGGGCTTTCATGGATGGCACCAACCGTAAAGACTTGGTAAAAACAAAGCTGGGATGGCCTGCTGGGATAACTCTGGATATGGTATCAAAGCGTGTTTACTGGGTTGACTGCCGGTTTGATTACATTGAGACTGTAACTTACGATGGGACTCAAAGGTAAGCAGTATTTTTTATAGCTTAATAAGTTTGAAGGAAAGTACATAAAATTTATGGAGAGTGATATCAAAGGACCAGAATTAAAATATTGCTTTGCTGCTTGACATTATAGCTTGAACGACCTTGGTGTTGACATGTCCATGAAGTCACCTGCTCTGAGTTTTGTTAACTTTTTTTGTGTTGTTCCATAATAACACTCATTATATTACCTAGAGCATTTGTTCTTTGATTTCTCTACTCCAACCCCTCCCCCACTCCCAGAGGAATCACATTATTTTCATTAACTCCTGATTCCATTTATTTCTCTGGGTCCCTTATGGTTTGTTTCCAAAGATCACTTAATCTTTTAGTTTTCTTTCTCCCAATACATAAATAAGTTTTATTATTTATTTAACATTATCTGGTGGGAATTAATTGGATTTTACTTTGCTCTTATATGTATTTCAAATTTCAAAGAGGAATTCTGACTTGTGTTTTTACCTGATATACTTCAAATGTACTTAAACAGAATATTTGAAGGTAGAATATGGCCCACTTTTTTCTTCATCTTCTTAGTCTGATTAGAGCTAACTATAAATTAATTAAATTGTTAACCATTTTAGATCTTCTCCTTTTGTTATTTTCCAAAATTGCTTAAAATGTGGTCTTCAATTTTTGACCAACAAAAATTACTCTTTGTAGGGGCCGGCCCAGTGGCATAGTGGTTAAGTTCGCACGCTCTGCTTCGGTGGCCCAGGGTTTGCAGTTTCAGATCCTGGGCGTGGACCTACACATCGCTTATCAAGCCATGCTATGGCAGGGTTTCCACATATAAAGTAGAGGAAGATGGCCATAGATGTTGCCCAGGGCCAATCTTCCTCAGCAAAAAGAGCAGGATTGGCAACAGTTGTTAGCTGAGGGCTAATCTTCCTCACTGAAAAAAAATTACTCTTTGTGGATTCAGCAAGTAGTAAGCTGGCCAATTTAATTTTTCCAAATGACTTAATTTTATTGTTTTCTCAATGAAAGGAATATTAGAGTTTTGTTTTCTCCTTTATTTCTATTTTGTAAGAATGGTGTCACAGTTTGCCTCTAGATTTTATATTCTCAGAACAATTTCTACTTGGTTAAATGAAGTGATTGGGTAGTAAGACTATGACTTCTTATCACTGAAACTGGTTCTCATAGTGAGAATATGAATTAATTTAATGAAAAAAATATTCGTCAACCCAAAAAGTTGTATAAAAACAATTGAGAAATCGCCCTAATTTTTTCCTCTTTCATGGGTGTTTTGACATTGTACATACTCTAAATATTTTTATGCTAAGGTTAAAGTAAAACATAAGAGATAATAATAAATGGGATTTCAGAAATTTTATGAGAGTTTTGCTGGCTGTGAAGAAACATCAGCAATATGAAAGCTCACGATTATAGCTGAAATAAAGTCATTGCCTCTTGCTTTGCAGCAGCTGGCATTCAGGGTTCTGGAATTTGCTAACTGAAAAAGAAAATCATTCTTTAATCTTAAAGATTAAAGATGCCATGTCATTTTTAAGTGTTTCAAAGTGTGCGCTAACCTATCACCTTAGGTTTCTTTTTTTTTTTCACCTTTAGTGTGTTTCCAGCTTCAGTATCTTCTTTTCTTAGAGCTTACAGCTCTATTGTGCTTTTTGGTTTTCAGGGGCTGCTAAGATTTTTCTTTGAGGTCTTTCTATTATACCAAAAGAAAAAAAATAAGAGTTTTCCCATGAACCATCCTCCACCTCACTTTTTTATGTGGCCTACCTGAATTATTGTTTATGTAGATGTAGTCGTGGCAGGCATTGCTGATTTCTTCCCCCTGCTTAGCACCTTTTACTTCTGTTTTCTTCCATTTAAGCAGTTCTGTGCACTCTGTGCCACCACTACAAGTATGATCACTTGATGGTTTTGTCAAGCAGAGCACTAGCAGTGGTAGCACTGTCACCTGCACCAGTCAGATCGGTGTGGTGGGGTCCCAGGTTCTTGGTTCACAGACACAAAAGAATTTGAGAGCGGACACACAGCAGAAGTTTTGACAAAGGAGGATTTATTAGCAAAGCAAAAGTACACCCCCAAGGGGAGGGACGGGCGGCTCAAGGTGAGCAACGGCCCGCCCGAAGTTGTAGCAGTCCCTTGGCGTTGGAAGGTGGGGTCCCGGGAGTGGGTGAGGGTCTTGGAAGGTGGACCAGTCAGGGCATTGTCTGCACCCTCACGTCAGGAGGGGGAGATTTTTCCCTTCCATAGGCATCTCTGGAACTGGCGGTGATCCCCTGCGAGGGGGGTCAAAACCGCAATACAATGAGGCTTGGGCTACTCTTGGTCAGGGTTAGAGGGGAGTGTTGCATGCCTGAAGTGCCACTGCTTGGTAATTAGGATGTTGCACCAGGTGGAGTGACCTTGCTCCCAGCTCATATCTAGCTTCCTGCCTGTCTCAGCACTTTTTGCTCTCCCTAGAGTGCCATCAGGAATAGGTCTGTGTATTTGCTGTGGGCTGAACTCTATCACTCACTGTCCTGCTTTCTAATTGCTGAGAAATGCTCAGTGGTACGGTGTGAAGTAAGCATTGAAGGCGTCTTCTACCAGACTTCCAACCCCTTATACACTGTTTCACCTATGGCTTTCAAAATAATGTGTCACATCTTAGCCCTTTTATATGTGGGGCAACCATAAAAGAACGAAGAGCAGGTGAGAAAACAGTAATTTTTCAAAAAATCTAGAGCAAGCTGGGACTGGAACTGAAAGTTAGGTCAAGGGTCTTTTCCAAGAGACAACATGAAAATCCTTTTATCAAATGTAGATGGAAATATACCTGCATCTGAAAATGTATTTTTTCTATATATTTTATGTTTGTCACAAGAAATTATTTAGCTCTTCAGGCATTTACTTGAACAAATTCCACCTTTAGTCAAAGTAAAGCAAAACAAACAAAAAATTGTATGCTGTATATCTTTTGTAACAGGAAGATAGTAGTTCGTGGAGGCTCACTCATTCCTCATCCCTTTGGAATAAGCTTGTTTGAAGATCATGTGTTTTTTACTGATTGGACAAAGATGGGTGTAATGAAGGCAAACAAGTTCACGGAGACCAACCCGGAAATATACTACCGGACTTCCCTGAGGCCCTTTGGAGTGACTGTTTACCATTCCCTCAGGCAGCCCTATGGTATGCCCCTGAACAATGGAAACCCTGTTTGGTACTGGCCTTTGTAGAAAGGTTTTCTCAAAGCTATGGAAGTTAATGAATGACAGATCTCATGAGATTTGGTGGCATTCTAAAATATATGATGAGTTATCTAGAGAGTTAACCCCTCTGAAATTGGCTCTGCAGATCATGGGCATTCTGGAGAAATTGATGTATTTCAGAGTTAAAATACCAAATCTTCAAGGAACTTAGAGATGTACTTAACAGATATTTATTGACACCTGCAATATGCCAGATCTTGTCTAGATGCTGAGGATAGAGCAGTAAAGAAACCAAACCAAAATACCTATCCTCATTCTACTGGAAGAAGTCACCTAATTCAACCCTCTGACATTATGGTTGAAGGAACTGAGGCCCAGAAGAAGAAAAAACACATTTAAGCGCTCATTTTAGTAGTGTCAGAGCCATTTTTTCTTCTTCTCTGTTGTATATGTACGGCACCTGTTATTTGGTTTGCATTGGATCTGCCATAGGCCAACTGGGTTTGGTGTCTCTTGGGCTGCTCACTTATCAAACAAAAGAAATATTTTGATTCAGATGCTGCTTAGTCTTCTGTTATTTTACATTAATTTTGTTTTTGTTTCAAGGTTTTAAATTGACATGACTATCTGGACTGTATATGGCTCTTTTCCGTATTTACTTGTGCAGCAAAGAAATATGATAAACCAGACTATGTTGGTAGAAAGCTTAATGTCAGTGAACAATAATTCAGAGAAAGACGTTTCACTTTAAAACTCTCGTATTAAGAGATGGGTGTAACTTTAGGGTGGAGAAAGACTATAAATAATTAGGTTGACTTTTCAAAAAAAAAAAAAAAAAAAAAA